ATTCATTAATGCAGTTTTGGCTAAGCATAGGTAATTCCAGAACGGGGTCCAGGGAGCTAAATTTGCCCCAGAGATGTAACTCAAAGCTGCCAACACTTCCAAACCGCACACGCTGAACTGACAGGAAATTTGATCTGGGAGTGGACTCACAAAAGTACAGCAGTTCTTTTATGTGGTATTGCAGGCTTTTGGATTTCCCTGCTAGAGAATTGATGGTAACTATGTTACCAGAGAAGCTCTACATCTACACACAAGCTTCCAAAGTTGCAAACCTTTGTCCAAAGACTGAAATAACCGCATAGCAGACGAGCAATGCACTGCTCGTGCAATTAGACTCTTCCCTGCTGTGGAAAAGCAGCCCCAGTTGCATCACATGTTGCTTTATGCACTTTGGGCAACTAATTTAGGTATGTGGTGGCCCTAACTCTGTGGATAGTCTCTGAAGTGGGAGTGAGAGGTATTTCCAGAGGATCTTTGAGCTGTGACTCTGTGTTTTAGCATGGGCTCAGCAAGAAGACCGAGCTTCAGAGTTTGAATGCTCTGATGTTATTTCTCTGACAAATGTCATGGCCTTAGCCCTGCTGAGTGGCTTCAGCATCTTCCACTGTCCTTTACTGTAACTTCTTTTACCTTCAGTGCTAATGAGAGGCTTGCTGAGAGAACTGCTGCTTACAACTGCCACAACAGCTTCTCACCCAGCTCTCTTCGTACCCTTGGCTGTGTGGGCATTGCCTTTGCATGTCTCAGATTGTAATGGCTGATGGTATGCTGTGGTTCAGTGCCTCGTGGTGTTAGCAATGATGCAGCTTTGATTTGGGGTTATTGCCCTGTGTATTCTTTCTTTCTCCTTTCCTGCTGCATGAGAAGCAGCAGTATAGCAGCTTTAAGCAGTACCTAAGCAGGGTCATATAATGTTCTGTGGGTGAAGAGCTCAGACTGAGCTACCTGGAGTGCAGCACAACTTGGCCAGCTGTTAGACCTGATCCACATGTTGCTGTACACTCCTAGATTTACTGTATGGCTCAGGGCTGTGTTTCCTCCTCCAAACCTTCTGCAGAGCTTGAAAGACTTGACTGTTGGGCAGCTGAAATGGACATTAGGGAGGGATGAAGCACCCAGCACAGCACCTCCACATCTGTTTCCCCAGAGCAGACCCAGCATGAGGAACAGGTGCCAGCCATAGGTCCAGCAGCTTGATGGTTTGAAATCCAGGCTGAGGTTGTAAAACAAGAGGTTCAAAAGGGCAGCTTCATCCTGCCCTTTGCTTTCCAAATCTGGCTCATGTCTGGTCTTTATCTGAGTTGATACTCAGGGGCAGGTTTCATGTGTCTGGCACCCTGAGTCTGCCATGCAGCCTGATAAAGTTGTATCAATAGCTGTGGCAAGAGCACGTCTTCTGGCTGATGATTCCACATGGATATGACTAGTCTGTGGGCAAGTCATTTGTCCTGAGGCTTCATCTATTTTTGGACATGAATCCATAAGTGCAGCCACAGAATAGCTGCGTGGCTGTATCTCATGAGGAGTGTTCAAGGCCAGGTTGGATGGGGCTTGGAGCAACCTGGTCTAGTGGAAGGTGTCCCTGCCCATGGCAGGGGGTTGGAACTGGATGAGCTTTAGGGTCCCTTCCAACCCAATCCAGTCTGTGATTCTGTGAATACAATGCTAATGAACTGGGATTCGTGACAGCAGGCAGATGAGAGTTTGAGAATAATGCTGCCTAATTCAGGGGCACATGTCAGTGAATCACATCAGACATGAGCTTTGCCTGTGTGTTAGCATCAAGGCCTTTGCTAGAGTGACAGTAGCGCTTCCTCTGCTTCCACTGATGTGGTCAGTCAGCTGAAAGGGGGAAGTTCTATATAAACACAGAATGTACAATCTGTCCCTGGAGATAGTGGAGGATGCAGCATCTTTCTCCAAGGGATTTGAGTTTGGTCCCACAGTGATAATGGCCACACATTGTGAAGTACCTTACATGTGAGGAGATGAGGTTGTGGAGCACACAGAAATCCTTCCCGCAGTTCCTGTTTCCCTGCTGTGGCTGACAAGCAGTCTAGAAGACTCACTGCAACTTAAAAGACTCTCTTAGATCATCTGACAACAAAAGCGTTTTCTTTGTTGTTGGAAAGGAGAAGGGAATACACTGTAAGCAAGAAGAGGAGATCATGGACTGGGTTGTATTGCTGTGTGACAGTTAAATATTCATGGGTTTGCTGCATGCAGCTTCAGTCTTCTCTAAAATGTGCTTATTCTTGTTTCTGCTCAGTATTTTGCAGCACATTTTAGTTCTGCTTTGAGTTTCTTTCCCATAGCTGTCTGGCTTCATCTTGGTAATATTATCTGAAACAAAGCTCTGTGTTTCTTCTTGAAAGAATAATGTGCATTCAATACTGGCTATGGCTCAAAATGATCTTTTTCTGTGTCTGAAGGTAGTAGAAATCAGGATTTGTCTCCCAAAGAAGTGAGAAAAAGGATAGTTGACAAAAAAGAGTAACTACAAATGGGAGGTTATGCCCTCCCTTCCTGCTCTTTCTGGTCATGGCAATGTGAATGGAGAGGATGATGTTGGTGTGCTGTCAGAAGCCCTGCTTTCTGACAGCGAGAGGTGAGGGAGATAGTAATGGAAATGGCTGTGTTTAAACGATTCTGGATTTGAAGCCTGTCACAGCATAAACCAGAGTATCCCTGGGGCTCCTGGGGCTACCACTGGTTGCCTGTAGGGGACCTTTCCTCCTAGGTGTAATGCCTTTACCATGAGACATGAGATTTAGTGCTCTGGTTCTGCAGAGTCTTCCTTTCAGGTAGGTATCAAAGGCTGGTCTGCCTCTAAGTTGTTCTGTGCAATGTGTGAGGAGGGAGTCTCTGAGAGACAGGACAGCAGTTAGACATGATGTATCAGCCAGCCTGGAAGAGGCTTCCTGAACTGCTGTGTTTGCAGAGAAGCTTTACAGCTAACGTTGTTGAAAGCATAAGAGAAGAAGCAGCCCTGAGGTGAAACCAATCCAATCCTCACATGCTCTTGTAGTGGAACAGTAAGCACCAAAGTATCGTAAAGGTAGCATCAAAATCACCTAAATGATTTCAACATGAGAGGGGTCTCATAGCTGCCTGTGGAGAGTTACTCTGCATTAGATGTCAAATAGGGCTCATCTCAATATTACAGCAACTGACTTGATGCAATTCCCTCCTACATGAATGGGGAAAGTTGCTTCCTCTTTTCCCTGTGCACTGCTTTCTTACTTGTGACAAGAAGGATTTTCTAGGAGAACTAAGACTTTCCAAGCTTCATTTTCTGTTACTTCTTGAAATCACATTCAGGTTGGCTGCTGGAAAACAGAGTCTGACAGATCACAGACCTTGATTCCTAGCAGTGGCCAGATCCCTGCTCCAGCAGGAAGAGAGGCTGACCATGTGGCAGCATACCTGGGGTCACCACTGATCCACAGCCTGCACCATGGTTCTTCCTGAAGGTCAGCTTTTTACCTTGGATTTCCCAGCATGCATCCTCTGTGTCCTAGCTGGGGCTGGAGCATTATGATGAAGGTTTCCCTGAAAATGTAGGCTGGAGTCGGTTTGACTATGTATGTCCCTTCCCTTTTCCTTCTTCTGGAAAGCTCAGAGACTTGAGGTTTGGTGAAGGAGCAGCTTGAATCAACAGGACTCTGGGGTCTTGCTGCATTCCCATTTTGTAGGGCTTGTCTGTGCTCACTGTGTTGTGCTGGTGTTGCATGCAGGAGCTGGCAGCAAACACTGGAGACAGTGAAGATGTGTTTCTTGAATCAATGATTTCTTGTTTTTCCTCTAATGATATTTTTAAACATTTGTTGGATGATATGAAGTGCCTGTCAGTTGCTGAGCAGTGGAAAAGGAAATATTTTCCATGATTATGCAACTGAACAGCATTATAACCCTCATAATCCAGAATGGACGCTTTGTCAGGCAGTTAGTCCAGTTTCTATCCATAATACAAGTCCTGATGACATCATGTTGAAATGGAATCCTTTTTTTCCTTTTTGGAAAGGTCTGGCCCCATGAGATGAGGGCAGATTAATGACTGCTGTGAATCAAAGTAGAGTCTTTAAAATGGTGCAGCTACTCTGAGATGCACCACCTGAACTTATGTCTCCAAAGTGAATTTTTTAAAATTATTTCAGTCTTAGAATGAATCCTACTCACTGTGAACTCTGTCTAAATGCATCTGTAATTCTGGAATGTTCAATACTGGCATAGCTGTGAACATAACTTCTTCCCATACCAGAACTTGAGAAACGTGACTTCCCAAAGCCACGTTTGTTCCCGGACTGTGGCCATGCTTACTGACCATGCAGTCACAGCCAGTTCTCATGAGTGACACATCCTTGAACTGGCACTTGTACAAGTTGCTTGCTTGGCTGCCCAGAAAATGCATGAGAAACAAAATAAGGTGCTGAAACTGGGAAACACTGCTGTTCTGTAGAGCTGTGACCTAAATGTAAAAGTCTTTTTGCCTATCCATGAGTATGTGGCAAAATAAGACTTAAAGATACATGTCACTTGTGGTGACATGAGCACAGGAGAAATGTCCTATTTTGGCTGCAGGCAAATTCTTTCCCTTCCATTTCATTAGGTAATTAGAACATTCCTTTAACAAAGCCTTTTCTGCTGTATGCTTGGTGCAGTCTTGGAGAATCAAGGTCTGTTGAGCCTGATCCTGCAGTGCCTTTTGCATGTGACTCCTGTTTACGTCAGTGGGTGCTCTGCAAGTTGGCAGGTCACTGGGTTGGACCCTGGGAATGTTCAGTGTCTCCAGAAGCAGTTCCAGATTCATGTTCTTGGTATATCACTTAATTGGAGCTAATGGTATGGTTGTAAGAAAGCAAATGATAGATTAACAACACTGGACTAATGAGCTTAATCAATTAATGTCCTTTCTAGCCATAAATACTATCTTTTCTCCTAGCCCTATTTTGAGAGATCAAGACAACATACAGGTAAGAGATGTCCTTTGTGCATTTCAGGCAGTGGAGAAGGTGTTTGCAGTGCCAAATGGATTTTACTGGCAGACAGTTGAAACTGATGACAAAGGCTTCCTTAATAGCAGCAACATCGAGGCTTGCAGAGATACAGACACCAAGGTAAAAGAAAAACCAACACAGACCACTCCTTTCTGATTTATGGGATGATGTGGGAAGATGAGAGATGATTAAGTGACCTGGAATATTTTAATCTTGAGGTTTGGTGCAAATACTGATCTTGAAGTATTTCTCACTCAGACCTAAATATATCAAATGAGTATTTTGTGTCATCAGTATTGATGTGCTGATTGCTCTGAGCCACAGAAGATTAAGCTATGAAATGAGGAGGTTGAAGAAATTGCTACCAACTAGGTGCAAATCAGTAACAGGAGACAGAATTTTGATAGCCTAAACCCACTTGACTGTGAGCCAATATATAATACAACTTGTCTGAAACTTGTGCTCAGGAATGTTCAAAAACGCTAATTCTGAAGCTTCTGGTACCACCTGACCTACAGTAACTGTGTGTGTTGTATAAACAAGTAGGATGTAATTCTACTTAGTTTACCACAGATGAAGAGAAGGTTAAGGTAACATAGCTCATATTTAGGAGTACATACCAAAATGTAGTGGACCTCCAACCACAATAACTTGTTAACTGTAGTAACTTACCTTTCTTAGCTCTTGTGCAACACCAAACAGCATGTGTGATCTGACAGAATTCAGTTTCATGTTAGTGTTGATTCAGGGAGATGGAGATACAAGTTCTCTCTGAACACTTAGCAGTTCAAGCCTGAGCAGTTGCTGAGATGTACCAGGCTTGTTTCTGGAAGGTGCTTGAGGTCCACAGTTAGGAGATGAAAACACCTTATGCTTGGCACAGTTGGGAAATGCCTCATGTGTTCATTACAGTTCCTTGATGTGCCTCGGGATCCTCCTGCTGGAGTGGGTCTGTACAGGCCTCTCGCAGCAAGGGCAAGGTACTCTGAAAGGGAAGGCCAGTTGGGAGCAGAGATGAACAGAAAGGCAAGAGGGCCAGCAACCTGAGAGGAGGGTGCAGTCCCATAGTATCCAAGCAAGAAAAGCAGATCAGGTCCAGCAGCAGTAACCAGGCTCAGCCAAGAGTCCACAGTGATGAGGTCAAGCCAGAAAGCCGGTGGGTTAGAGTAACAGCCAGAATCAGTGACCTGTGACATAAGAAGGATGTGGAGCTGTTGGAGTGAGTCCAGAGGAGGCCACAGAGATGCTGTGAGGGCTGGAGCAGCTCTGCCCAGAGACAGGCTGAGAGAGCTGGGCTGGTTCAGCCTGGAGAAGAGAAGGCTCCTTAAGGGGAGACCTTAGAGCAGCTCCCAGTGCCTAAAGGGGCTACAGGAAACCTGGAGAGGGGCTTTGGACAAGGGCCTGTAGGGGCAGGCCAAGGGGGAATGGTTTTAACCTGCCAGAGGGGAGATTGAGATGAGATCTGAGGCAGAAGCTCTTCCCTGTGAGGGTGCTGAGGCACTGGCACAGGTTGCCCAGAGAAGCTGTGGCTGCCCCCTCCCTGGCAGTGTTCAAGGCCAGGTTGGACAGGGCTTGGAGCAACCTGCTCTAGTGGAAGGGGTCCCTGCCTGTGGCAGGGGGTTGGAACTGGATGAGCTTTAAGGTCCCTTCCAACCCAAACCAGTCTGGGATTCTATGAGACTGGGCCAAGGCGTACCTGCAGTAAAGCTCAGCAGAGGCCAAAGGTAAGTGCCTGGCACCAAAGCAGAGGCAGCTGGGCTGGTGCTGAGGCTGTGCAGGGCTGGAGAGCTGCATTAGCAGAGCTGGCCCTGAGCCCAGGCAACCAAGCCCCAGGGACTAAGAGCAGCCACAGAAAAATCCTTCCTTGCTGGCTGCTGAGTATCGGGTTAATAGCAGGAGAGCTTGAGCTAGACAAACATAAAGAAATAGAGCTTTTATTCCTAATTAGACCACTTTTTATGATTTGAGTAAATTTATATCTTCATTTATCATGATTGTATAAGCCTTATAACGTGTTTATGAGGGAGTAGCATTTCAGTTAAAGTGTCCAGTAGTGATGAATTCATTTGGCATTCCCTGCATCCATAAAGCTTGCTGTTGGGGAGAGTGTTGAGTTGTCTTCTATCCAGGAGGACCATGCACATGTTTGAGGCCATTACAATCACACTTGTCTGATCTACAGCTGGACAATTTATTACCCATAGCACCACATGATTTCCTGTCATAAAGAGCTTCCTTCTTGAAAGAATATTTCTTCTGATGGAAAAGTAATAATAATTTGCTTCCTTTTGTGTATAGACATTCAGTCTGTTTTGGTGTATGTTTTCCTACTGAATTGCATTGGTCTGGTAAAGAAGATTTCAAAATATATATGTGGTACAGAACCGGTGATGTGTCTGCCTTTTAATTTTGTATTTTTTAATGTTGGTTTTGACATTTTTATGTAGTTATAAAGAAACAACTAGTTGGTCTATTATTATTTAACCATCTTTCCATATTACGTGAAGTTAGACAGCAGGAGGGATGCGCGTCTGCCCCAGAGAACTTGCAGGTTTTTTACTAGTAGGTTTATGTGATGAAAGGCAAAATTATATCAGGAGAAATAGTCAATCATAAGTGTCATAACTATCTGTGATTCAATCTGAAGCTGAATTGCATATGAACATAAAAGAAAGCTTCTTTGTAGCTCTTACAGTGTGGATAAAGCATGGGAACTAAAGATGAGCAGAAGAGATACAGCTGTGTGGTCGTTGAGGGCTTGGAAGCTTTTGGCTCACTTCTCCAATGTGCTCTTGCTGTTCAGGTTGCCATGGTGCTGTTGTTTGAAAGTCTCTTCCAAAGTCCCCTGGCTACCCATCACATGTTGCAGCTGGTACTCGGTGCGGGTCTGGATATCTGTGGACTCCGCCTGCTCTATCCTCAGCAGGATGTGCTGCTCTTCTGCTCAGGTGAGGTCTGGTTTTCCTTCAGAGGTTCCATCATGTGCTGATACTGAGGTGAAGGCAAAGATCTGTGAATGTATGAAGGTGAAGAGTGATGTGGTGCTGTGGGCATTGGGGAGAAGGTATCAGATTTACATGAGTG